CGGTTATAGTTCGGTTTCGTTCCTTTTCGGTCTCTGATTGATAACACAGACTGTATAGGGAGAGTAGAAGTCTAATTCACGTTCGAAAATAATTCAAATTTTGAAAATTTAATCGGCAATACTGTAGCTAAAAAGTCAAAATTTTTATTGCGGAGTCAGAACTGTAGTAATTAAATTTGAATCAAGTTATTCGAGCCAGTGTCACCTATCCAATTACTAACGAACTAAAATAGAAGTATTCCAAAATTTGTTTACTCAGTTTAATTTTTTTTTTTCTAAACGATAAATTGATAAAGACTTCACTGGAAAAAAGGTGCTATATAGAACTAATGAGGATTTCGTAGGAAACCTATGAAGCCTTGAAAAAGTATCCCGGATCCTTGACAAGTCTTTTTGAAGGTGTTTTAGGTCCATAAGAAACCTTAAAAGGTTTCGACTAGGACTTCATGTGGGATGGGACAGTCACACCCTATGAGACGAAAATTTTTTCGTCCCATTCCATCGGCTTATGAGACGAACAAATTTTAGGTAAAATTATTCTGCTTCTAAAACAATACAACTACTTTGATATAAATCTCGTACTCATCTTTTCGACAAAAACAAGTGAGAAATAAACCTTCTATAGGTGGTCAAAGATTGTAAGAAGTATGACGTGATATAACAGAGGGTGTAGAAGTTAGTGTGGGTACGTGGGTAGGGTGGGGATGGGGTTGTGGGTCTACTCTTCAACCATTGTCACCTCCACGCCCACACTCACATACACACACAGCCACACTTTGGTTCAGCATTTGTGAACCGAGAATTATTTATGGTTGAGCATGTATTTGACAGAATTATTCAAGGTTCAGGATTATTTTGCAGAATCTCTTCGATTTAGGGCCTTTGAAAAAGGAACATTTTTTGATTTAGTATTATTGGATAGAATTACTTTAGTTCTGCATTTTTGAGCGGAGAACGTTTTATGGTTGGACATTATCCGCCAGAATCTTTCAAAGTTTTAGTACTATCATATAGAACTATTTTTGATTCTGTAGCATCTGCAGAACCAAAAATAGTTCTGCAACCTTCCTTATTTCTTCTCAGAATAGAAGTGTCATTGTTTAGACCAGAAAAGTACTTCAACTTGTTCAGTTTAATTTTCTCTATAAAATTTGAATTTTAAATTTGCGCATGTTATGCCTCTGTAGAAAAATTCTCGATCGTCTGATAGACTCTCTCTTAAATACGATTTAACAATATTAATATAATGTTGTCGTTGTAGAACAATTTCATACAACTAAAATTAAAGTTATGATGTGTATCACATAATAAACCACTATAAAATCTTCCAGCACGACAATATCGTTTTATTTTCAGTTAAAGTTCTTTCTTGAATAAGAATAAATTCCATAAATAAATGGATGCCTGCTATTTATTAATTGACTAAAACTTTTCTCTCGTTTATCTTTCAGGATATTTAACATTAGAAAAATAAATCAAATACAACAAAAAATGTTAAAAGAAAAATAATTCATCGGAGAATCAGATGGATTTTTTACAAATAAATAATGAATCAAAATGAATAACAAGTGTTGTTTGTACATATCTATCACATAATTATTAACAATCCAAAAAATGAATAATATTTTGTAATTGTTGTCGATTCCAATTTAGAATATTTCTAATACAAAATGTAAATGAAATAGCTTTTTTGTTAATTTGTTTCAAATGTTATTTTAATAAATTGTAATAATTGATGTGTCGATAATTGAATAACTATTGAATTTGGAAGTTCATTATATAATTGTATAAAAAATAGTGCATGAAATAGACATTTATTTATGATACTTACATCAGTATTAAAATTATTTATTTTATTATGAAAAAGAATTAATTTTGAATAAAATATAAATTTCGAATAAGATAAACCATAAACGAAGGGAAATAATGGTGATCATTTATTAACGATATGTTCTATCTGGCGATTTATTCGTTGAATAATCATCTATTGGGAAGATTTAAGAAAGAAATCAATCATTTTAATCGTTTCCAAGAGAGTATTCAAATATGAATCAGTAGAACATTTTAGTCAAATGAAGATAATCATTCGATCAGTGGCATACATCGTTTTCCCAAACTATGAGGTTTTTCAACGATGATTTTAAATCGAAAATGTTTTATTTCTTTGCTAGAAATGAATACGTTTTTTAGCTGTATAAGCAACAAATCGAAGAAGAAATTTATGTCCGGTTGTATTCTTTGATAATTCAGTAAAAGAATTCTTTTAGTAACACATTGAATTCCATAGATATTTCAAAATCATTTTTTGTTTCTTATTCATATTCTCAATCAAACAATCTTATTTTAATCTCTATATATTCTTATACATTGATTTATTGTTTTTCTATGTTCATTTTTATATTTTAAAAAATATATCTATCCGTTTATATATAAATACAAAATTATGCATTATTTACGTTATTAAAACATGAACCACTATATCTAAAATGTGCATAAAACCTTGGAGGGTACAAAAAGTATACATTTCTGCTCATTTTTGAGCGAATTTTATAAGAATAATTCGGCTTTTGATAGAAGAAAATGACATATTTGAAATCAGCATAAAAAATTAAATCGATTAATATAGTTTTCAAAATTTTTCTGAGAAGTTTTATTTTCGTCAAAAAAATTAACTGAGGTCCTCTCTCGCGCTCTATCTCAAGCCTGTACAATGTTGTGTAAATCTCGATCAGTCATATGTTTATCTATTGAATCGTTCTATTCCTGATGAAGGACCATCAAAGAAACGATGTCGAGCTTTCAAAATATGTTAATCGAGCAATAAAACAAAAAAAGTATCCAGAATGATTTTATTTTCATAAAAATTTAACAATAATTAGAGTTTATCGAAGAGACTAGATAAGACTAAACATTTTTATCATTTTGTTTAACTCTCATATACGCACTTGGAATAATTCTTATCTTTCACTATTGGTCATTTCAATGATCATACTGAACTTCGAGTTGCATCTATAATCTCAATCTTCGACTCATTATTAAATACTTCTTTATCAATGTTATTGACAAATTCATTGATAAATAATTGTCAAATATACAACTATATTACATAACGAAAAAAATCTCTTACAAATTTCAACATTAAATAATTCATATTTTAAAAAGCTTTCAATGACTTAATACTCTTTCACAATGTTTAATCAATTAAATAATTTAACTTTTATTTAATAATTAATGATCATTTCGAACATTTTCAAACAAAACAATATTCAACTTACAAAA